CATCACATTTCCAAAGAGCCTACCACAGCCACATCATAGATAAAGCAGCCATCAAGGGTTATGATGAACACTTTTTCATGTCCTTTTTTTTGGTCCTTTTTCTTGATGTTCACATTTAACCACTTCTTTGGTTCCCCTTCATGTTCTGGATGTTTTGGTCTGATCTGTGGCCTCGTTCTGCTGTTCAGCTTCAAAGTGTGAAGTTACTGCAGGAAGAGAGAGCCTCAACTGTGGTCACCCAGTGTTTGGAATGAGAACCCTTTGAATTTGCAGCACAGCTTTGCTTGCAGCTTGGGGCTACTGGCTTGCTTTGCTAAACCAACCTGAGTACAAAAATTTACTGAAACACAAAACTAGCAGACCAGGGCTTACTTCATGTTTTCTCTGCGCTGCTGAGTACAAACCCCAGAGAATTTGGGGTGTCAGGTTTCTTAGCCCACCTTGGGGAGCAGGAGCTGGTGGGAGTTTTGTGGGGAGCTGCAGTTCTGCCTGGTAAGAATGAACTCCCCAGTCAGTTTGTCATTTTAGTGGCACAAACTGCTCTCCCCACTCACAGGGGAGTCCTTGGTTTCCCTGTTAGTTATCAGCAGTAGTAAATGTGTAGTAGAAGGGTTTACAGAGGACATCCCTTCAGAAGGGAAGACTTCATGGCTGAAAGGGAGTGCAAGAAGAGGTACCTTCTAGTGACTAGGAGGAAAGTGAGGGAGCACAGACGAAAATGAAAGCCACAGGATCATGTGGCAGAATCACTTAAAGGAGAGATGCACAGCTGTCTTGCTTTATCTCTTTTCCTCTTGTTTAGGCAGAGGTGTACATCCCAAGGGCATGTGGAAGGGGAACATCCTTTCTGGAAGAAATACATTGCAAAAGAAAATTAAAATAAGTACAATGGCTTTTGAGATGCAAATTAATTGTTTTGCCCTCTACCTGGAAAACAAAACTGAAAGGGATTTTAAAAGTAACAGGATATTTGCTAGAATTTTTTCTCCCTTCCTTGCTTTTGGCAAGCATGTAGGTCAGTTTAGCAAATCTTTAACGCCCTTCTACATATAATGTTGATTCTTTAGGTTTCTGCTGGCTGCTCTTACTACAAAGAGGTGCTTGCTTTGTTACACCATCCAGTCACAAACATCCAAATCTGTAGGGTCTTGAGCACTAAGTTCTTCCTCAGATCCTAACCCCCATCTCTCCTTGGCCCCTGCTGTTTTTACAGCTCATCACACCCCAACAACTTGCCTTCCTAGACCATCCATGCAGCTTTCACTGGCTTTCAGATGACTATTGAAATAAATGACTGTATGAGCTAAAATAATCCAAACCATGCACACTTGTCCGAATCTCAGGCAGCGAAGGCATCTCCATTAATGTTATAAGAAATTCACACTGCCATGTGGTTCGTCAGCACGTTCCCTATCATTTGTTACATCTTTTTGACAGTTGAGCATCAATTTAGAAATGCCCTGCAATGAACTTGGAGAGAAGCATCACTCAAGGTCAAGCGAAGGAGGACACACTGCAGTGCTGAGCCAGTCTTAACTCACAGCTGCTGATGTGAGCAGGGTGGATGTAGATGTACAACCTTCCCAGTTCTCCTCCGTGCTGGCGAGTCAGAAGGTCTTCAGTGCTAAGGGATTCATCTTCTGCAAACCACCAGGAGGAATACTGGCCAGTGTTGGCTACAGAGAACAAAATCTCATTGCTGAACAGAATTACCAGATTTCTTACTGTCTCTTTATGGGGCTGAGTCCACCAGAGAGAGGCATGCAGCCAAGCTGGGGGTGAGCCATCCCTTCTCACTAGGGCTGCCTGATGTGGCAGAAGAGCTTGGAGATACACCTTATTTACCTTGGAGATGTGCCTTATTTACAGCAAGCCCAAACATCTCTTCACAGTGCTGTGCTTTGGCAATATAAACAGCCCTAGAGTGTTTTGCACTGGAGGCCACATTTTGGGGAGGATAAATGAGAGCCCTCATTTTGACAGATAAAAATGCAAGGGATTTTGGCCCAGTAACATTTAATGAGCAAATCCCCAGCCCAAACCAATAATAGAGATGTTCTTGGCACTTCATAAAATGATGGAAACAATTATTAGAACCAAAGGTTAAAAAAAAAAGAAAATAGAGTGGGTGATAATTGGGAAACATTAAAAGCATGTTATTGAAGCCCCTAAAAGATTATCTAGGAGGAAAATTTTCATGCTGGTTACAAAAACAACCTGCTTAGAGAGAAAGTGAAGGAACAGTTAGAAACGTAACAAACAGATTAGAGGGGAAGTTGATGGTGATGAGTAAAAAGCAGGTTTGGATCAGTGGCAAACTAATAATTAAAATTAAACCTGTGTCGAGAAGCCTTTCTTTCCCTGGCAACATAAAGGAAAAATATGGCATCCTAATAGCACTGCTGGGCCTTTATCAGGTGGAAACAGTTTTTATCAATAATATGGAACTGCTAATTGAGTATTTCTGTTCTGGTACTTGTGAAGAGTAATATGATGCAGTCCTGCCAATATAATGATGATGGTAAGCAAGCAGAAATATTTTCCATTTCCACCATAACTCTGGGTGTTAACACATTTTCAGCAGCAGCTTGAGGTGGGACTGCCCCTCAGCTGTCTGCCACAACTCCCAGTCAGAGCCAGGACAGGGGAAGAGCTTGTTAGACAGAGCCAGAACTGCCAACCTTTTTGAAAATCCTAGACAGGCTGACTCCAGTGCAGGCTGAAAGACAAAGTGGTTCAAGAGTGGAGTCAAAGATGGGCATTGCCAGGAGAGCTGCAGCACAGGCCTCCAGGAGCTGCTGCTTTCAACATCATGAGGTTTGGACAACTCACTTCAGGAGCTAAAACAACAGTGAAGCTGGACAAAGACTACTCTGGCCATGATTCTTCTTTTTGTTTTGGAATAGTTGGGATCTTCCAGAAGACTGAAAGATGCAAATACTGTCTGATGTTTTTTTAAAAGGACACATGAGATGTCCTGGATGATTGTGGACTTGTTGGCCTGATACTGAGCCCAGATGAACTAATTGCACAGCTGATGCCGGATTCAATTTATAGAGTACTAAAAGGGAATAATGGCATTAGTACCAGGCAACATCTTGCCAAATTATGGTTTTAGTGAGATGAAAAGTTTGGTTGACGAGGGTATCGCAGATACTCAGGGTGTTATATAACAACACATTACCAAAAGTGATTTAAAAATGCAAATATATTTGTATTCAGGAAATTGCCATGATGCAGCTGAATTTCTGGAGGGATTTTTTTTGTGAAACTCTTCACAGCCCATGCTGTTAATACTTTAATCAGTGAAAGAAAGCATAAAGTCATTGCTTACAGCTTGCAAGCAGTGCAGAGGCAGCAGCGAGTGAGGAAGATGAGAGGTGACAGACTTGGCTGATCACGGTGCCGATTACTGTGTGTTGAGGCACAGAGAACATTACTTGGTTTCAGCCTCTGGGAAATGTACACTGAGACTTTTTGAGGATATTGGGGCTTTCTGCCTGAGTATTGATGCACAGCATGGCCAAAAGGGCCTGCAGCTGTACAGACACCTAAGTAGGTGTAGGGACTCTGCTTTTAGCAGGAGCCTTGGGAACGTCAGTGTTGAGCTTAGCAAAGAGAATACTGAGAAGGTAACTTCAGCACTAATTATGAGTTTGTAAGAGGGGACAGGCATTTTCCACTTCTTTTCCAAAGATTTTCTAAAACGCAATTGAAATATGGTTTATGTTCCTGAGGGTGAAATAGCACACACTGTAACAAGCCAAGAGTAGAAACTGCATCGCTGGGAGATCGTGACTTAAGTTGTATTGTTTTACCCACTGATGCTGTCTGATCCAGGAGGATTTAGTTCAGGGAGTTGCTGGGCTGTGTGGCAGCCCAGGCTGAGATCACAGCTCAGCTTTTGTCACTGGCACAGTCGGTGGCCACCACACTCACTGTTCAACCATTTATTAGAAATGAGGAGACTCCACAGAGAAAGCTGTGACAAGCTATGCCACGTAAGCACTTGTTACAACACACAGATGCCTAGAATAACAATGAAGTCTTAAAACTTGGATTGATAAACAGCAAATACCTGCCACCTCTTACAGCTTTTAGTACTTTCATGTTTCTCACTGGTAATGAGAAGGCATTTTTTCAGCATCATACAGTTAAGGTAGAGATGTCTTCCATCTGCTGGGGACACAACAGGTTAAATAATTTCCTGTTGTCTTCTCCCCTGTGCCCCATCCCTTTGGAAGAGCATAGGTAAATACATCTTTGGATCACCTGCAGTGAAATTACTGTGTGAAAAATCAGGAACAGGAGTAAATACACTGATGGGTCATATTTACAGAGAAGTCAGTGTGAGGTGCAATAACATAGGAATTTATTCTTCAGATCAGGCACTTCACATGCTTCTGTGTGTATACTGCTGGATGTAACACCACTTAGCCCTCAGTAAAGAGTTTGTTTGACACAGAGTAAAGTTGTTCTACACCCTGGTTGCCTAAACAGGGGCATAGCTGCTGCACAGCCTGAATGCTGAGGGAAGAGTGCAAAATACCTGTAAATCCTACCTTGAGACACTCTCAGCTATTTCAGTGCTTGCTTTCAGATTGCCAGCTTAAGACAAAGCCCAAAACACCACATTTTCCAGATGTAAAGGCTGAATGCCAAGAAATAATAATAAAAAAGGGGTTTTAGCTGGAGCTATCATTAAGTCTGAATATTTTACAAACACAACCCATATGAAATGTGAGTGATGAGGTACCTTAAAAACTTGCACAAGTCAATCATAACGTTGGATTAATATCTGTTTAATTCTCCTATGGTGTTTCAGGCTCAGGAGAAAAGAGCTGTATCTCAAAAATACTCCAGAGTTAATCAGGGATGTGGCAGCATCTGCTTAAGAGAGATCCATAATTGAATCATCCCTAATTAACCTATCACCTTAACAGAAGGGAATAGCATGTTGGTACCACTACTGAAATGGATGAGAGCAGTGGGCATGGAAAGAGGGGAGGATGAGGCAAAGAGAAATGCAGCAATTTGCCTAACACCTAGTTTTATAACAAAATTGAGAGGAGGGAGGGAATAGAAATTAAAGTATATGAATTATTGAATCTCTTCAGTATAGTTAATCAGACCATAGTTTCAAAAACATTTGAGCATATTTACATGTTAATCAATGCATTATTTAAATCCAATAAATGTTTTCTCCTTTTTATGGTTTAGGCTTTTTACAGTCTCTCCAGATTTTTTTCTTGTTATCATTACTGCTGACCTAATTTGTATTTGTAATAATTATAGTTTCAAACTATGAAAAAAACCCTTGGAAAACTAAAGGGCAAAAATAAAGGCAGTGTCAGAGATCTCCACATAGGAAATACAATATTTGTTGTATGTTATTAAATGAAAAGTCTGCACAAATCGAAATGAGAAGTTATTTCCTGTTTGAAATAAATCTCACAGACATACAAAACAGATCCTGAAGAACACTGCTTGATTTAATATTGTTGTTCTACTTTGTACTATACAGCTAATATACAGTAATTGCAATTTGTTTCATGCAGTGCCCTGCCAGACCGTTTTAGATTATTTGAAGACTGTTCTTCAGCATCACAACCAGCTTATGGTACCACAGCCAACAGACCATCCAACTGAGGTAGTATACAGTGAACAAAAGCTTCATCTCTTTGTTTGACAATTCATTGAAAACATGCAGGCAAATAAATCTATAGGCCCTGGGAGAATATTGTTAGTAGTAAAAAATATGTCAAGTCTATTGTTAAACTGTCATTCTTAGGTACAGTAATCCCCCAAATGGAGGAGACTCATCATCAGTTTAATCTCAAATGACTTTATTGAGCAGCACATTAACTGTCTCCATCAGCACTAGCTGCACTTGCCTTGCTTTGGGTAACTTTTCTCTCACCTTTCCTCAGAAACATCACTTTTGTAGGCAGAATTTAGGCTAGGGCTAGCCTAGTGTAAACTGTAGCTGGGTGTTTAACCAGCTGCACATGGTGGCTGCTGGAACACAGGGGCTCTTGCATTTCAGAAAGCATCCCAAACAAAATGTACTGGATAATCACAGAATCATAGAATCAACCTGGCTGGAAGAGACCTCAAAGGTCATTGAGTCTTATACTCGAGATTGAGTTTGGGGGTTTTTGTAATTATGATCTTTTTTTAAGTGCTGCAGTGAAAAAGGAAGACATATAAGCCCTCCCCTAGAACATAAATGTATAGGTCTCCCTATCAGATCTAGTGTAAATCATGTCAATTCTCCTCCAGTGTGTTTCTATCCAGGCTTGTAAAAATTAAGTGGTTTTGTAGAGACTTTTCCAGTTTAGACTGTGTGGATTTGAGGCTCTTGCTATGCATGTTTTTCTATATGTGGTGTTGATATGTCGCTGCCCATTATTCACAAAAACAAAATCAAAAGAGGGAAGACTTAGGTCTAGTCTAACCTCCCTTTGCACATAAATGTCATGTAGCACAAGCCTCACATAGTCCAACTTACCATAGTTTTGCTCAAGATGCTTTGCAGCAGTTCAGGGTGTGCATCACTTTGTTCCTTCATTCAGTTTTATCCTGTGCAAATAGATACATACATATTTATGTTTATATTTTTATATATCATTAGCTGCTATCACTCAAATATATTCCAAGGATTCATTTTCCTATTTTTAAAACTCTTTTGCTTAACCAAAATTTTCAAGTACTGTAAAAACTGAGGCTGTTCAATAATGTCCCACATGGAATAGCTTGTCATAATGTGACAGAATTTTTGATTCAATTAAACACATAGATACTAATCTTTTATTCATAAGCTTAATCATGTACAAATACAAGCATGAATGCATTTGTACTCTGGTTCTTCCTTCAGGGTCTGCTTATTTCATTTCTGGGAGGTTTTCTGTTTGTTTTAGTTTAATGACTGCTGGACACACCAAACCACATCACATATTTACTGAGAATCTTTTGCCCAGAAGTGCTTTACTTTCAGAGGAAGCAATGAAAGTGTATCTGTAGCAGGAGCCCAGTAATTGTTTAGCAGAGTAGCATAACATGATATCATGCCTCTGGAGAGGAATAAGGAAAAATACCCTAAATTTCAGGGGGAATAAGAGAGAAGTATAATACAATTGAAGCTGAGGAAGTTATACAAAATTTATTACCTTCTTCTCAGTTAATAGTAACGTGAGCTTTCATGAAATTTAGATGTTGGGCCTTTCTGCACTCTATTTCCATCAGTGTTATACATATAAACACAGAGGTAACTTCTAGGATAGCTTGCTGCTTAGCAAAGCCACCTGTGAGCATCTGTCCTTAATGCACATGAACAAGCCTGAAACTTTACCCTGTGCCATTATGGGCTTGCATTGTATAAGCCCTGCCTGCCAGGCAGTGACAACTCAGGTAGCTGCAGCTTGTGCTTGGCACTGGAACCAGTAAGAATGGTCCTTGTTTCACTACAGGGGTTTTTTTAATAGGAAAAATATAGGTTTCAGAACTCTAAGGTAGGAAAATAATTGACTTTCTATGACAGGGATGTGGAACTAGCTGCTGAAAAATAAAAAATAAGTACCAACATGAGGATCAGGTGGTCCTGTGTATCACTGTGGTGAAATTAGTCATGTCACCTCCCCCTGAGATACACCAAACCTGAGTGGTCACAGTTGCTCCAGCATAAGAGTATTGTACCTCCAAAGAGCTTTCCATGCCACCTCTCTGCTCTTCCTCCTTCCCCAGCTCCTTCACCGTGTTGGCAGAGGACAAGGAGCTGGACTGGATGGAGGGCAATGTTCTTTCCATGGCAGAGCTCCTCAGCCATATTACTGGCTTCTCAGGGGCTCATTTACCTGGCAAAAATTAAAACAGCTTCATATATGATGAATGGAGGGAGAGGAATTGAGCTCGACCATTTTGCAGTGGGGTGAGGAGACAAGTGAAGTGTCAAGAGAAAGCCCCAAATTACAACAGAGCTAGTCTGTAGGTGAAGGATCTTTCCCTTAGGGATTACAAGCTTGAATTTACAAGCTACAATGTGAATGAAGTGTTGAGATGTTTTGAGAGGAGAGGCCCCTCGGGCAGAAAAAGCTCATCTCTTCCTTTATATTTTGGCTTGCTTTGCAGAGTTTTGGATTCACCCGTAGCTGTCTCTGCCAGCAGCTTGCAGCAAGGCAAACAAGTAGCAGCCACAGAGGCTCAGCTCCCAGTGATGCTAACCCCACTGGGAGGTGGCAGTACTGGAGATCATACAGATTCTCTAATGACCCCTCAGCACGGTCGTCACTAAATTCAATCTTCCATATATTTATCAAACTTGCAAAAAAAAAAAATTAAAGCAAATACCTGAGGAAAAACTTCAAAGATGCTCCCAAGCTGTCTCCCAAGGTGCTGTACTAAATATGTGAAAGAAGGCAAGGGTAGTCCTTAAAATAGTTTTCAGATATCAAAGGCCTGGAAGTGAGGAGGAGAACTTTGCTGTGGTTGCCCACAAAGTGCAGCATGTGGCTGATTGCCTCACTGAGCATCAGAGCCTTGTTTCTCTAGCTCACTCTGAGCTCCTATCTAAGCTGGGAGCTATACAAAGACTTTACTAATTGGGCTTCCAGATTTATGTCTTGTAATAAAGAGGTGCAGCTGTAAAAGTGAATGAGTCTCTAGGAGGGTGTGGTTTGGGTTCTTTGTGTACTTCAATTATTTTAAGTGTATTAACAGTACTATCCTAGATTAATTGGGTTATCCTGAACTATAGCATTTTATGAGCAACAAGAATTAAATACAATTAAGGTACAATTGACTTAAGAGGGCTTATAAATGTGTGTGGATTACAGGAATCCCCATAATTAGTCCCACAGCATTCATTGAATGCTGGAATATTGAAGCACACAAATAATGAAGGTTAAAAGCAAAATTTCTTTCCAGCTGACACACTGGCATTTCTGTAAAGCTATAATTTGAGTTAATACAGCATTCATTAATAATAATGAAGCTTTTAGTTTTCATAGTTTCTTTATTTATTTTCCTTACATATTTCACAGTAACATAACTGCTGTCAAGTTTCAGGTGTGTTCTACAGAAGTAATAAATTTATTATAAAAATAGACCAAAAGAGTCACCTCTGAAGCAAACTGTCAGCTGCAATGAAGTGATCCATTTGATCACTCTCTTCAAAGACCCATTTTATGCACTTTAACATATTAAGAAGAAACGTTATACTTAAAGAGTATACCCCGTCACTGATTCTTAACTCTTTTTAACCTGCTTGTTAAAGTGCAAATTATCAATAGCCACCTCTCAAAACTCATTCTTCATACTCACCAAATGTGAGTTCTAGAAAATGGAAATGTAATTTTAAAAGTACACGTTCTCAGTGAGAGCAATTACACGTTCACTTGGGGTTGTGTTTCACTGTCACTATCACGCCTAGTTAAAAAGCATATTTTCTGTTGCAGCTGACATCTTTACTTATTTGCCTTGTAAAATAAGCAACTGAAATATTTCACTTTTTCAGGGGAGTAAGCAGTTGCTGAACAACTACCCTGTCTACATCACTAGTAAACAGTGGGATGAGGCTGTAAACTCTTCCAAGAAAGATGGACGACGGCTCCTTCGCTATCTCATCAGATTTGTTTTCACAACCGATGAGCTTAAGTACTCATGCGGCCTTGGAAAAAGGAAAAGGTCAGTGCAGTCAGGAGAGACAGGTCCTGAAAGACGTCCTCTGGATCCAGTAAAAGTAACATGTCTCAGAGGTACTGCATCTTTTCGCTCAGTGTCCACCATATGTGATCTCATTTCACCACATTGGCTCTGGCTCAGTAGAAGCATTTGCCTGACAGTTGCACAACTAGATGGGGTTTCACAGGCAGGTGATGAGCAGCCACAAACCCTCCACTTTCCTGTTATACATACATACACACACGTATGTATGTATTGTGTATGTGTTTTGGGTGGTTTTTGATGGGGCCAAAAAGGCTGCTTGGTTAAGAGAGGAGGCTAATGCTAGGCCACATGACACTAAGACACTTTGAACAGCAAAGTCAGGCAATCCTGATCATGCTCTTTTATAACAAACTAACAGGGTATTTTTAACAATGATACACAGCAAGACTAACCAAAGGAAGAGTTATAGCCTGGGTAGTAAGCATATAATACACGAGAACACTGTGCATCAGGGAGTTAATTGAGTTTCAGAATAGGTTTGGATGTCTTCTAGGGTCTTAATTACCTACAAAGTGTATACAATTGTGTAGTCAAGAATTTAACTTCTTTTTTTTTTACATACTGATGCAACATTGCCTGAAAAAGTTAGAGAATGGCTTTCCCTCATGTTGAAAACGATAGGGAGATTTGCAAGCATTTCATAATGTCAGAGCATGAAGATATTGGGCACAGATTGAGGGGAATGTTCTGCACTTTGGTTTCCTAAAATTGTTCAAAAGGTCTAGTACCAAGCTTTATAATAAAACATACAAACCAGAACTTTTTTAAGCCCAATTAAAAACATGTGTTTAGTATCAACATCTGCATTTTATAAATGCAGATGCTTATTATTTCTTTAATTTACTCATAGCTAACTTTATAGTATTTTGTGAGCTCATAAATAAAATTTTGGTTGAACTAACTTGGAAAATGTTTTACTAATCAGCACGATGTAAAAAGCTAAAAGTGACAAAAATATCTTTAGTTTTTGAACTGCAGTCCAAAGTGGTTATATACATCAGGTGGAGCCTCTTCCCATCTAGAGTAGAAGAATCCAACAAGGTGAGGTAGATAAGACTTGTGGTTGGGGTACATTGATGTAAGCAGGTAATGAACACAGATTTTACATTTATTTACAAATTAGGCAAAGAGGCTCTTTTGGTACTACAAAGGAATCTTTTAACCTACATATGATACTTTACCAGACCTGAATAATCTAGCAGAGCTTAAGTGAAGGACACTCCATCACATACCATGTTGCAGAGGTCTAGAGAGGATTTCAGGGCTCCAGAAGTTTTCCTGGAAACTGAAGGCTGGATACAAATGCTTTAGCATTTACTAAATGACTTTAAATTTCACCTAATTTATGCACAAGCAGAGTGTTGATACCCTTTTCTTCCCCTTTCTCCCCTCTGCCTCCCAAGACTAACACTAAATCCACCTGTACATGGACTTTTGCTTATGACCACTCTCCTTTCTGGGGTCCTAGACATACAGAACACAGGAACACAGGGAGAAAGAGAAGGGGTAATTTCTCTAATTTTTAGAAACTTGAGGAGGAATCCAAGGATTCAGCATCTAAGGACCAGCTAAGGAAGCAGAGTAGACAGCTCTCCCTTTGGGCTTTCATGCATGGGTGGGAACATTACAACTTTCTCCATTGCCAAGTTGGCCACTGAGTCCTACCAGTTTACAAGCCAAGGTAACAAGTGTCTGATTAATTCTCAGCATGGCCAATTATGCCTTTCCACTATAGCAAGGAGTGCAAATTGGTTCTCTCTCTGCACTCAGGGTAGTTTAAATACCTATAAACATTTTTAATATATTCCTGCAACTGGCTGGTGTCTGGAAGCAGCTTTAGAACAGCCTGGCATGCTCAAATTATAGCATTACTCCTTTACATGGTAATCATTTCTCTGAGAAAAAGACAAGTCTGGGGAGGCACACGTGAACATGACTAGGTAGGAATTACTGTTGCCCGTGCAGATTTCCAGGGAAATGAATTTAAAACAGAGATCACTATCACTTTTGCAGACACACTGCTGGAGGAGCTATGCAAAAATCACATCCTAATTGTCCAACAGATGAGATACCTTGCAGCACTCTCTGTCTCAAGATGTGGTGACAGTAATGAAGTTACCTTACACCACTTATTGTGCTGTTGGCTTGTCAACAGTAGAAAATAGAATTTTAAAATATCCTGGGACACACAATACTGTGTGAGAGAATAACTAATGTTACAGAATAAATAAGTAGCTCAATTTCCATATGAGGTATAATGTATCAATACCTCTAATAAGGTGCCTTCACATTTAAAATCATATTTGGATGTTTCAAAGTCCAAATACACCTATCTGAGCTACATCTAGCAGTTACAGCTCCAGAATTGGTAAGGCACCTTCTGCAAGTCTATCATATTGCATGTCAAAGAATCTGAAAAAGAACTTGCAAAAAAACATAATCATCACATACAAAGAGCTGTATGTGGAAGCAGCAGCTACATAAATAGCCAAATTACATGCAGTACAATTCATTTCCTCCTGCATTGAAAATTATTGCAAGGCTCCCCAAATCCCCAGTCCCTCTAAACTCATTTAGCTATTTCTAAGGCCAATTTAGGCTCTGAAAAAATAGGTGTACAATACAGGGAGATGAAAAAATGCACAACTTAAAAAGGAAAGGTATCCCAAAGAGAAAGGAGCACCAAAGTGAAGTAATGGCAGAGACATTTTCCAGCAGGTTGTGGGTTCCTGCAGGTGCTGAAGCAGGCAGCAGAGGGAGGTCATAAAGACCCACAGCAGTAACCACCTGAAGGTAGAAACACCAACAGGTTTCCAGTGAAATACATCCCGGGTCACACTACCTTTCACATGTATTGCACACACTGAATCACAGCCTTCACTTCCAATGAGTTCTCTTGATTTCCACAAGAAGGGATGTTATCTCCAGGTCCCATGCATCACCTAGTGAGCTCAGGTGTAACAACATACACTGCATGTGGAGAAACACACTCGTGCAGGAATAAAATCGTTCCGAGTGGCATTATCATGGCATCCCCCATCAGGCTTTACTTCTGCTTACGTAGCGCAGTAATATCCCCCTCTCTTACTTCCCATAAGCTTTTGATGCCTGAGCAATAGTGGATGCTGCAAAGACAAGTTGGTTTTTATCCTTGCATGTTTTCCTGCAGAGTTCATTAGGATGCACTGTACTTCCAACCCAGACTGGTGGATGCCATCCGAAGAGCAAATCAACAAGGTGTTCAGTGATGCAGTGGGACATGCTCGCCAGGGGCGTGCAGTGGGCACTTTCCTCCACAATGGGAACTCCTACTATGAAGGGACTGACCACCCAGGATCCCAGGATGAAGTCTTCAATAGAGGTATGCAAGATGGATCTGGCGATTGATGGCAGTGAGAACCACCTCATACAACAGTAGCAACCACTTAATTTAGGAGAGACTATTTGTTAAACATACTTAACCCTGCTGTCATTTAGGAGTCCAAAGCATGTTTGAACACATACTGCATACATTTCAGCTGCTCCATCCTACCATATCCCAGTTAACAGAAAGAAATTCATTTCAAGACTTGCTTGATGGGACTTCTCAGTGCCTATTATTTCCAAATCCTTCATAGCACCCTTAAAGGGAAAGTGCAGTTCATTTCATCTAGTTGTAGAGGAAAGGTCATTTAAAAACTATAAAAATGTCAAAAGAAACAGCAGCTACTATCTCTTCTTCCTATTGATAGCAAGCCCAGGCCTGGACCCAGAACAGCTGAGTGGTATTTGCTTTCCCTGAGTAGGAGATGTGAGAACAAGTCTACACATTTCTAAGAAAACAAGAAGTAGTTTCCCATTTCCTAACAGATAATAACAATTACAAATGCTACCTTAAAAACACCTCACAAGATGGAAAATTCAGGGACTTCCTTAGCCTACTCTGCCAGGAAATTAAGCTTCCTGTGTAAGACAGCAGCACTCATCAACAGCAGAATCCTTCAAAGACCCACAACAATAACAGGCACTTCTAATAGATAAAAATGGCATTGTATATCAGATAGGCAGTATATTTATCTAGATTTCTAGGGGATTAGGGTTGATCATGACAGTTTTCATTAAAACAAAATGGCTAAAAACAAATTGCCATTTCTGAAGACAGATTTTGTTTTGTCCCTTGCTATTCTGTAGCCATATTATGTAGCTTTAGGGGATTTAAATTGCCTTTTCTTGGTTTTGTTTTCATTCGTGTTTTATATCCATTCCTTGAAAGAGATGAGACAATGTGCTGGTCTTGCTCAGTGTTGCATTCAGGGAGGGGTTGGGCAAGAAGAGCCTAGTTTAGTCTTCTGTATTAAGTAAACACAGGGTCCAGACTACCTAAGAGCTATAAGAAAAGAGCTGTTGGAGCAGAATTCTCGTTGGAAGCAGATACCAGCTTTGAAAACAAAAATCATTCCACTAAAATCCTTTAAAGGTTGTTGTCCCTCTGAATTGATGCACTCCAGAAATATGCAATGCCAAAGAAATTATACCCTTTCCTTTCCACATCAAGGTGTTTCCATCTCCTTACCCTTGTCTGGTCACTCAGGCCAGTGCTGACATCCTCCACAGCCTGAACCAGCTCTTCTTGAGACAACATTTCCTCACTGGCAGGGCCAGGGAATTGGTTTTTGGGAAGAACACTCACTTGGCTTTTGACCATCCCTAGTGCTACCTCATTGGCGTTGGCTCTCCTGAACGCGTATCTCATTCTCCCCAGCTTTCCTCACCACCTTGTGCCAGCCACAAGAGTAGCTACTAATTGCTCCTTTTACCCTTCTCCTCTCCTTCCTGACCTTCTCCCCGTGCCCCAGGCAAGGCAGGAGGCACCCAGCTCCTTCCTCAGAGATAGGACAGGCACTCTGGGGTGCAGCGCTGCTCTAGCCCCAGCCTGGCCAGTCTCTCAGGCAATCTCTCAAAGCTCAGCTCACCCACTCAATAGCTTCTTCCTGCCACTGCCTCCTCTCTGCCTGTGGTTGTGACCAGTCTCTCACAGCCCCTGGGGCATCTCAGGGCATGGGCTCCACTGTGCACTGCCATAGACGAGACCTCACTCAGCTAGGATATGCTTTAGGCCCTTAAATGTCTGATACCTCTTGCTTCATTTTCATTTTGGTGATTTTTTAAAAGGGGGCATGAAAGGCACTCACTGGCCCCCAAATAATTTATTGTCTAAAAGTCAGCAGTTTAGTCACACTGGACCTCACTAGACCAAGGGGCTTGGAACACCATCCCCTTCATATAGGCAGGAGTGACTTTCTTGGAGCAGTCACTGGCACGTGGTGGCCTCTGGAGGAGAAACTCAGTGTATAGAAATGTCACAGTACAGATAACCTATAGTAGCTTTTCGGTGTTGAACTTACACTTTTTTTAAAAGAACTATAATAGAAGATGTTACATTGCTCAGATGGTGTAAGTCTTGCTGGTCTATGTTTAATGTGGTGACCATGCCAGAACTATTTGGTAAAACATGTCAGAATGTGTGAGTCAACATTATACTGTGAATTTGTCCACAGCAATATGTACCATGCTGTATTTTTGTAAACATTGTGATGGTTTCCTTTCAGATGTTTAATTGTATGATGTTAAAAGTACAAATGCTTCATTTTTAACAGTCACAGAACAGAATTACTGGACAGGTCAGTCCTCTCACTTAATAACTTAATGATTTGCTGAAATAACTAGTAAGCCTGGCTTTATTTTTAGTGTAAAAAGCATAGCCAGCATCCTGGAACCGCTCACAATCCTCTACTCTCATATTGTGCAAAACAGCCAAAAGTATAATTTCATCCTGAAAGCCACTTGGGCAATAGAAATGGCTTTGCAGGTTTGGACCTTTCTGTACAAACAAAATTTTACCCTCAATCACTTATGTGCACTGACCAATGACATGACTCATAGTCACAGACAGGCATTAACAGACACAACTCATATTTTTTGTTCATGTCTGGTTTTAAAATAACAGAGTGTAACAGCTTTTCTCAGTTGTCTGTTTTTCATTGCCATCATGGCCACTTGACCCACCCATTTCATTTCAAAAACCCCAAACCTTTCACAACAGCTTATTCCAGTTCATTTGTTCATGAGGTATTATAAATTCATACACGTTGAAGTGTCTAAATATCTGCAAGATGTTAGGTATAATAGTATGGGACCTGAAATAGTAGATAGCACAGAAACCCTTGCAGTGTGCTCTGTAAGGCAGCACATCCCTGCCCAGCTCTGGCTACAGACAACAGGCAGAAGGGAACTGCTATCTATCATGTCACTCCAGAAAGTCCCAGGAGGATAGAGATTCTTGTCTTATCCTTCCCTACGCTTTAATCTTCCTGTCATTTATGTATCTGCCTTCTCTCAAACTTGGTGTAGCAGTACCGCACGCCCATCTGTGCCAACATGCCTTCGCTATATTTTCTATGACAAATATTTGTGGAGAAACTGTGATTTAAAAAAAAAAAACAAAACATTAATCCTGATATTTTTACTGTTATGGTGTAGTTAATTCTATGAATAATTTCTAATGATGATTGTACTGTGTAGAGTAAGTCCAGGTTAGGGATAGACCTTTACCAGATATTGTACAAAAAAAAAAAAGTGCATAGTGTAATATAGACTAGTAAGGTTTTTGTGACAATTTCTATAGGATGTGTGAATTGTTTTCTATGTGGCAACACACATTTCTTTTAAAGAATATAAAATCTTAAGAATTTTTTAAACAGTCAATATTTTTTAATTATAAAGACATTTGTTACCTACAGTTTACTATTTCAGGTGTTAATTCTAATTTGAATATTGGTTTTATTACTACATACCTCCAGTTCCATTTGTTCTGTTGCATAAAAATGCACAATAAAAGTTAGTCTCTGGTTACCCTGTCTCTCTCTTTCTCTGTAAGCATTGCTGTGTCAGTGTGACTGCCAGCACAACTACTTCTCACTATAAAAACATATTAAAAGTTTTAGACTTGGATTTATATAAAAGGCTAGAGCATTTTCTTTCACATTAAATGCTTGTTTGGTACAAAGCACTGGCAAGCACAGTGCAAGATTATGAAGAATTCAAGTATGAGTACAACATAAATCATTTTCACCTCAAAACACAACACCAAGATGTATGTGCCACTCAGAGGAATCCCCATCTGCAATCTTAAGACCTGGATTTTCAAGCAGTGAAGTTTAAATCCCATTTTAATTCAAAATTCAGCGATGGCTGAGTGTCTCCTGTTCTCTTAAATGCTTTAGAAAATCCTGACTCCAGATCATTTGTAGAGGAATTAGAGTGACAAACACTCACCATGGCAAACCTCTTGTGCTGGGCTGGAGCCTGACCACAAGGCTGGTGTGGAAGTACCTTTAAGGCTTGAGACAGCCATTGAATCTCATGCATATTTAGGAATTTAGGGGGGTTTTACCTCATTTGCTTCAAACAAGCTCAAGTGCAAGCTCACACTATAAAAGTCCTTGTAATCTTAATAAAATAAGACTACTCACGTTGTAAAATCTTGCCCTCAGGAGTTCAGCTAGGAAGGAATGGCTGTTTACCTCCTTCCCTCTCTTAGCCCACGGGCTAAGACTGCTCCCCTGGTAGTGCTGACAGCCCAAAGGACAGTCCAGCATTTGGACCTGACCTCAGACAGACAAGAGACAAGGCCCTGGAGTCTGTCACTTCAAACATCTGTTGAGAAAAGGAGTCTCTTAACTATGAAATGAAACATCTTGAGTAATCACAACATATGCTGCACAGCCAAAATCTTTCCTGCAACATGTTGCTTGACCACCTTATTTCTGGTACCTGCTACAATACAGAGAAAAACTCTGGAGTTCCTCAGGTTTCTCCACTCCATCACCCAGGCTTCTGTCATTTTTGACTCTTCTTTCCAACCACAGACAGAACTTTTTAGCCCCATTATAAGTAGCTCTTTCCATAACAGGATAAATCGCCAGTTTTACCAGTATTAGTGATAAAAAGTGGCACTTTAATGAACCAGACAGTATATTGAATCCTTTCTAAGCTGACTAATTTCAAGCTTTTTTCTTAAGAGGCTTGGACAGCTTTGCTGGGATTGTCAAACTACAGTTACTGTGTAAGTCTAACACACAAACCCAACCTCTCCAAGGGATTCTTCATACCCTTACTATACACAGCCATGTAACCCATCTGCAGAACTACCTTTCTTCAGACCATCCTTACATCTGGATCAGGACAGGGAGTCCAAACTGGAGGCAGTGCCAGAGGGGCCTCTGAGCCAGGCAGAAAGAGCTGTCTCTGTCCAGAGGAAGGAACAGGATGAAAGGCAGAGCTGCCAGGGAAGCACAGAGCACTAACAAACAGAGCTTGGCTGTCTTGGGCAGGTTGCTCTGGCAGTGTGTGCCTGTCAGCACCATAAAGGGAAATTGCATAACCAGTACAAATTGATGCATATAACCTTTGTTTTGCATCCATAAAATAGTTATCTACATTTTCAATTCCGAAACGTAGCAAATCATCAGCTGCCTAAAGCCAATGTTATTGCTTACCTTTACAATTTATGCAGCATTGCTTAAATTAACAGAACACAACCTTTACCGACTACGGAACATTTTACTGAGTAATTGCAACTTGCAGACATCATACAGAATGTACCAAGTTCAGGTATAATTA